TGAAATCTGTTAATGTACACATGCAATCCACGTTTGTCCGAGGGAATTTTCTTTAATTCACCTCATGATATATATTGCCTACACCAGTCATTACGCAAGAGTGTACCGACATATCGAGTGTTTCACATACAGTTGCATGATATCGTGCATGAGGGTGAAAAGACACAGATTCAGACTTTTGTCATATGCGTTATGAACAGAACAGAAGTTTATTGTATGTCAAGGCCAGGAGGCCTAGAGTACAGTTTTATATGTAGTTTAAGATGATTAAATACATTTTCTGAGCGCTATGATTTTATGATAATACCATATGCACTATAATACACAATGCCATTGAGAATGTGGTCAAATGCAACACGTTCTATTTTGGACCACACCCTCCCAGCAAAGCACAAACTCCCGCTCCCCTTCCGGGCCGAGTACCATCCAGGACCCGCACCCACACCATCACAGCCAGGCACCCAACCGCCAGCACACAAAGTCAGCCGCCAACATGCGTTATGTTCTCCAAGAGATATAACTTATTCTGTAATTTGTCACGTGCTACAGAGCTTTTACTTTCCAGTCGGATTTAAAAGAGCCTCAGCTGAAATGAAGGTCTTTCTAGTTTGACCAAATCTGCGATCAACACTTGGTGTAGAATCTTGTCTTCCGTCAGCCTATTCTGCTGACAGGGGAAAACCATTACCACTGCTACTTTTTTGACACAGACGAACACCGGTATGGTCTTTTGTCGTTGGTTCGAATCCCATTTTCTAAACGATTGTTTCCAGGTTTAATTTGAGAGCACCAAAATCATGGCCTTAAACAAAAGTGGTAAACAACTAACATTTGCGCTACCTGCACTCACATTAACCTGGCACCCTGTGATGTTTAAAGCCACGTAAAACTAAACTCACTCACTGCACTGAATATTTCAAGTGTATATGATGTACATACTTCTAACCCCTTTAGATCTCACTGTCTTGATTTCTATAGCTTTCAACGATGACGTCCTGGCTGATACACATCTTCTGTACAAATGTTTAAAATATACTAACAGTGAGTGAGTTTAATTCAAAGTCACAACGGCAGTATTTCTGTCATATCTTGACTATGAGCGTTGTATATTTAAAAAAAACTTAGACAATATAAATATCTGTCAACGAAGGACAGTAATATATAGCATGTAATCATGAAACAATATTTCTACAGAACAACACAATATAAAATAGGCTTTAGAACGCCAACAACTGATCCAAGCTGGATTTACACCATCACCTCAGCCGCTGACGATAGTGAGGAATTGTAGCCAAAATGAAACTGACAAATATTCTACGTTTAAAACCAGTGGTAGATAAACTATACCTTGAATGATATGGACAAAATATACTAACTGTGTTCTCGTCGTGCTCGGCGTTGAAGTCCAGTTTACAGAATGTAATATGTCGGCTCTGGTAATCACAATCAATATAATATTTTAATGGTATGTTTATTTACACACACGGTGTGTGAGAAAGACAACAGCAAATACAGGACACGTTTGATAACAACAAAACCAAAATTGAGTATATTTACAATAGAAACCCACTGTACAGGAAAATGTCTAAGAAATGCATAACGCCCGACAGCAACCCAGCCACACCCTTGCACACCACAAACACATGTATTTGAAGTACTGTTGAAGTACTGTTGAAGTACTGTTAAAAGCGGCGGTGAACACAACCAACTCAAGGAAGGGAGTTTTTATGGATCTCAACTTCTGTATTAACAACGTTTCGGGGTATATCCTTACTCCTTCATCAGGTGACAGGAAGCCAGCACTTATAACAGTTAATTAGCGCTGAATGGACGTCATTACTGCCTCATGCCATGCATTCATCTGATGAAGGAGTAAGGATACACTCGCTGTGTTCCTCATAATAAAGAAGTTGACATCCATAAAAACTGTCTTCCTTATGTGTATCACTTCTAAATGTCATTCAAACACCCCCACAACCCACTTACTCATTGATATGGTAAGAACCATGCCACATAGACCTAACCTTTCTGATCAAAACCATACCCTGCGACACCCAGTGGAAGTAGTGTGAACAATTGATGACGTGGACTTTCCGTATAGGTGGCTTTACCAGTTTGTAAATTACTTCCACTTCAATTTTCAACGTAAATCTAGATAGAAAAACTCCATGTAAGCAATATTCTGACCATACATGTACTTTCACAAAAATCATAATTAAAGAGCTCAATAGTGAGAACCCTTTTGCTTTCAAGTTATCAGTGAATACGACAGTGATGTTGTTCTATGGAGATTTCAGTCTTTTAATAATGACAAAGGGTGGCTCAACTATACGCAAACGTAAGTTCAATTTCGGGGCTGGAAACAGCGTTGATGACTTTGAATATCAATCTGAAGCTGAGTAATGTAATAAATGCTTTAATGAAGATTTAGATAGCATGAAGACGTGTTTAGAACATTAGGCTGACAAATCACTCTTCTTATCCCTTTTCCTTGTCAGTTCAAGGGTTTCATCAGTGGGTTTATCGCCACCTTGTAACTTGAGAACAATGAAGGCGATAATGAAGAAGACCAAGCCAATAACCCTCAACGCGCAATCCGTGGCTTTCAGTCTGACTCGCAGAGATTTCAGGTCGTACTGGCCGCACGCACCTCTTACCCCGCATGACCTTTGCCAAATAAGGCATGCACTGTCGATTATGTAGCCGTACGCGATAGGAGCAGGAAGGAATGCTGCAACAGAAGGCAAGAAACAGTTTTAAACATGTCATCAGCGCTTTGGAAGCCGTCCGTTTGCGTAAATGTCTGAGTAAATTCTGAATCTAAGCCAACAATACTATGATTAAACCAGCATGTAACATAATAAAATACATATATGCAATGGCACGAAGCAGAGTATGCGAATGTAATGCTAATAAGCAATAACACAGAAATCAGTGATTGTAAAAACATAAACAACGCTCCTCTCGAGGTACGATGACACAACAGGGGTTAAACACTGATTGATCGAAATGTGTTAACGCCCCCATGAAATCTTTGGAATTCAACAAATGACAATGCATCCTGTGTGAGTAGTTAATTCCAGGGGACATAAATGATATGTTGGTTACACATGAGTGAGTGAATATGATTTTACGACGAGCGAAGGTTTATATAACCACCAGGGTACATAGGGAATTTACCCTGCTGTATGGTGTTAAGTCGGTTTCGGAATTTGAATGTACAATTGTCGATACTTTGCGTGTACGGTACTGACCACAAGTACAATAAGTGGGATATCTGTTATTGAATCACGTACCTAGCAGGGATGCCAAAACCCAAACAAAGCAAACGCGATCGCCTTGTCCTTGCCCTCTACGCTCCTGAAAAAACACAACATTCAACGTTTAAACATTCACGTATGATGAACTTGCCGCAAGCAGCATAAGCGGTAGTCGTAAATAAGCCTTGGTGTTGAACATATTATTGTACATATAGTTTGCAGTACTTTGTAGAGATGTTACAAATACAGTTCTCCCGAAGCAGTAACTTCTTGAGAAATTATCACATATTTCATTCCAAGCAGTATCTGGTACAGAAGTTACAAACACAGCTTCCCCGAAGCATTACCTAGTAGGGAAGTTACAAATAAAGTTCCCCCGAAGCAGTACCTTGTAGAGGCTACAAATACTGTCCTCCGAAGCACTGCCATGTCGAGAAGTTACGTGCTATGCATCTCACAAACCGAGCAACAACAACTTGAAATGTGCTCACCTTAATACCCTAAGGTCGGAGAACATTTCACTGTACATTTGTAGAATGATACAGGTACTACTGAAAACACCATTGGGAAATGCTGTCCACAGATGAGACAGAAAATCAAGCCCACATCAATCATCTATGAAAGATGCAGCGACGATCATACCTACCGTTTTGACGAATGCAGGCCTCTAACATTTAGTGAGACTGGACACCTGTCATGACCCATAGAGGATATCATTTACGGAACGATATCGATGTTGAGGATTGGGCACATGTTATATTTGGGACTATACTTTCTCAGGACAGATTCTAGTACATCCGGGATTCGAACCCACACCCTCAGAGTCAGGCACCAAATCGAAAGCACAAAAAATCAGACATCTAACATACTCAGCCATCGCGTCTCCTACAAATAATGAAAGTCGGACAACTGGTAGTCTCGACCATGGGCTTTGTGTACCAATCTGATAAGTGTATATGGGCACGGCTCACAAGGCGGAAAGCTATGAATACACAATGGCATTTAGAGAGTGGTTAAAAGCAACACATGGTATATTGGGGATTGCAAGGCCCGTGGTCTAGACTACCAGCTGTCCGACTTCCATCTTTTTGTTGAAGAAGCGGTGGTCGAGAGAGTGAGATGACTGACATTGAATAATGGCGATTAAGTGATGAGGGTGTGGTTTCGAATCCTGGATGGGACTCAATCCAATATAAGTACTAGAATCCGTACTTTACTGAGAAAGTGTAGCGCCAAATATAACAAGTGTTACATTTGACCACTTTCGTAATGGCATTGTCTTTTTATGAACACCTGGTTGTGGATGGGGAAACATTTCTCTGTAAAGTATTCCAGTGATGAAGTCCTAATAACGAATGAGTGGCATGTCCTGTTTTGTAAGTCTGACGTTTCTGATAATTGTCGTATCGTGTTTGGAGGATATGATCTACCTCATGGGAGTCACATCATGTTTCGCCTGTTTGACGTAACTAATGTGAGTAGAGAGTCTTGGTCTGGTGACAGCCATGCTACGTTTTCCACGTCCATGTCATTAGACCTTTCATGTTTTGTATGTGTGACGTTTTGTGTGATGGACATAATGAGATTCATGTAATGATTTGTTTGTGTCACGTACCTAATGAGGATCAGATACATCGACATGACTGCCAAACATCCGATCAGATTTTGGATCATGTCGACGCCAATGTAGTAGTAGAAGTAGGGACAGTCGCTGACACACATCCCTGCCGTTGTCTGGCCGCTCGTCACCTTGCTACAACCTCCATACATCTGGGGACCGACAATTAATGAACTTAAGCGTGGATGATGTTCTGTCATTCTGAAGGCCAGCTTCCATCAACTTCCGTTTTATGATAATATTGAGCCAGCAAACCTTCAAATTTACATGTAGGTGTACTAAATTACCTCTCTTTACGCAGGCAATGCTTTAATATATATTACACTATTCTCCTAAATGGACGATCCGTACAGTTCGCAACACACGGTTTGCAACACTCAGTTTGCCAATTCTTCAAACAGTGTGGGAACAGATTTCCCTGGCCGAGAAGACGCTAAGATATGCCACTTGTTCTTATCATGCCAGGCGCTCCTGATGAACGGTATGAACACGTGCTGGCTGTCATTGTTCTGAGCGGGGTCCCACATCAACATGTTATCTCAGTGTACTAACACCATAAACCAAGCAGCATCATACGCGCCCTAATATGTAAGTAAAATATACCTAAACGCGAAGTTCAACCACATATTCCGTTAACGCGTGTTAGTACTGAGCAAGTTATTTAGCGACAACAATATTCAGCACACTGGCTGATCCCGTACCGATTGAGTTTGGTTGGTACAACCAGCGAAACAAGGGGAGAAGTACGTCATCCCGTCGTCCCCGCAGACTGGAAAGAAACTGGTGCTGTCGCACGAACACACGCTAATGCCGTTGTCAAATGTGATGATTCTGAAAATATACCACATAACCAAAATGAACATAGTGTATGAGTCAGAACTTGTGCTGGGGAATATCCTAAAGTTGTGTACTACTTTGGTGAAAGTGAGTGAGTGAGAGAGTTGGATTCAATGCCTCTTGGAACAGTTTTTCAACTGTATCACAGCGTGTTAGCTTGAAGCCTGAAGTGGTGTAGGTCTGAGACGTTTATTCTGTCCGTATTTGTTCTGTTTTTCCCATCTCACGCCCGCCTTGAATTGTCATTCCAACGTGAAACTATATAAGACTACTTATGTCTCCCTGCCGTTGTGGAAATGTATGCTCCGATGCAACAGAAACAAGCATTGTCACTAAGGTGACATAATCCCCCGCCGCAAATTATCAAATCAAACTTAAAAAGTAATGAAAGGGAAGGTCGTAATTTAAGATGAAGTTAAATGTCAACAAAAACACGACGAGTCAACCTCTCTTGATATCTTGCTCTGTGGTTGTTCAAACGCACAAATACTTTCACGACTCACTTTGACCTTGACATGAATGTCTTAGTGTATGAAATATGCAAAAAATAGTAATAAAGAAATTGCTTATTGAAAAACATTCAAGGGAAGTCTTGAAAGTATATGAAGAAAATCAAGTGAACTTTTCTTGAGATATCTCGCTGACAATCTTTACATGCAGGTTAACATGATGAAGTCTTCAAAGTGTCGCCGTGACCTTGACAATTATGTGAAGGTCACCAAAATCGACTGGGCCCTGCGCCTTCCCCCGATAAAAACTTGATGTCGAATATGCAGAAAATCCAGTGAACGGTTCATGAGATATCTCGCTGACAAGGGTAAAACGTTGAAGTCCCCTTGTGTCCTTGAAAGGTCAAGGTCACCAACCCTGACTGGGACTTTTCTTTTACTGTGATGAATCTAGGTACCAAATATGAAAAGAATCCAGTCAACGGTTCTTAAGATATTTCAATTCGTACGGAACTGAGCCTAATACTATATATCCCGCTTCGCGCTAAACGCGCGGCGGGGGATAAAAACGCTCACACTTGCATATTAGAAACAGGTCAGCTTGATCTCTCTTCATCTAAACTTGAAAATTTTCGAAGCAACTCGATCGACATTATGAATACATTTAAGGACTATAACCAAATGATCTAAATATAAAAATTTCATAGAGAGTAATAAAATACGTGAAAATCGATTGTTATTATCTGCTTATCTTTAATTTATTTTTTTCTGTGTGGACTTTTCGACTGCAAGGGATTCACACTATGATGCGACAAATCTGAAAGATCTGTTTTCCCGCGTGAGCGGGCATCTGATTGGTAGCTACCTGAGGGAAGTTGATCTGTATCATAAAGTGTAACGTGTAATGTGAATAACAAATGGCGTGCTTTTAAATTTAATGCTGTTACACTTTCTGTTTTTAAATGACAGTGAAATGAAAATATATGTCTTTGAATTAAAACTCATTTGGATTTTACATTTGAAATGTTTATTAAGCAGACTTATTCTCGTCACTATATGGCTGAAAAAAATGCAGATGTGACTTAAAGCCAAACTCAACTCAACTCAACTTAATTTATTTTACTTTCCACAATCTTGCTGGTTGAGGTTGGATATGGAAAACGCACAAATATACGGATCACCTTAGAGCTGGTATGTTGCCGTTACATTAAGAAACAAAGACAGGCGACTATGTGTATCTGGTGCAACGCTTTTTGTTGCTTTGACGTGCTTCCATTTGCTGTATTAATCGTTTTCAAAAAATCTTTAATAATTTCCAGATGTTTACCCCTCGTTGTCATGGAAACCATTGATTTTAGGCGTATCACAGCCGATGAAAAACATAACAACATTGCTCAATATTGTTACAGTTAGGGTGATGATGATGAGCTTGAGACAGCCAGCTCGTGTGAGTTTTAGACGACTTGTCAGAAGTCCCCGAGTGAAGGTCCCGACTGAAAAGCTGATGAGATTCTCTATCCCTGCAACACAAGTCGTACGTGTAAGCGGCCTCGCTCTAGAAGTTTCATACATTTTTCACAGTACGTATGTGATTAACGTTTGTGAAATTGGCCAGCTTGGTCGCTTTTAAGCAAAATTACACTTATACTAGTCACACTTTGCTAAGGATTACAAAATGCGCAACTTTTCTTAAACGTAGATTTATAATTTGAAATTGTATCCATTTAAAACTGGAAAAATAATGATATGGTTACACATCTTTAGGAAAACAGCCACGTTAAGCTTACCGTATGCACTTGATACATGAGTAACCATAAAAATGGTTTTCATGGCACCAACCAACCATTTTGGAAATCATGGCACGGGTCATTGACAAGTACACAACACCTGTCAGCAGCAGGTAGGGGGATCCACAAGATGCAGTGACATACTGTAAACTTGGCTCCATGCTTACAATAGGCTTAGATATTTAAACCAAATTTGACCCCACATCATAGTATTCTGTTGAATCAATGATTTGATCCTTAGCAAAGTGTGAATAGTATATATCATTCTCCACGTAAATGCAGCTTACAGTTCACGTTCGTCAGGTTATGGCACCTCGAAGACAACAGCTGCAGGGCAAATAGTAATGATCCCTGACATGAAGCGTGAAATACCTGTAATTTGTCCTGAAGTGCCCGTTTCAATTAGTTGAAGGAAGGACAGCATGTTAGGAAATGATTCAGAGATATGGTTAGATTAGGCATATGTTTACTGATGATATTACCCACCTAGGATGATGTTTGTTGTGGATGCGGGGGCCATGAACTGCTTCTCGACGTACTTAGATGTGAAGGCCTGACCTCCGGCCACCACAAAAAGCAAGACGAGGAGGCCATTCAGCGTCAGACTGTAGACAGGACTCCTCAACACACGGAACACTGACCGGGGCAACTCTGAAGTCAACGCTATGTCACAGAAAACCTTGTAATAAGCTGGCGAGTAATCCCCGGCCGATAGCGTCATAACTCTCGTTGGATAGTACAGTTGAACAAGTGAGTTGCAAATACAACGTTTCAAAATAAATAACCTAGGGCACAGCTATAGCAAAAGAAAGAATCAGAAAATGGCCCACATTAGTTATCTTATCATCAAGTGATTAGATACAAGTGTACAAATAGTGACATTATGTGAAATATATTGCTTTAGTCGGTCCGAGCACTGAAGACATGTTTTTATGTTTAAGTAAACTTGCACCTAATATGTTCTCCTTAACGGGAGCGTCCTCTTTGGGTGATTGTGTTTCTTCAGTTGGAAGAATTTGTTTCGGGAAGAACAATAAAGGTATTCCAACGATGACACCCAAGCAGCCGAACAGGAGAAATCCAAGCCACCATGCTCCAATCCATTCGGGATGTCTTGGTGTCAGCACCGTATCTGGGGAGACAGAATGAATGGGATTACAATGGTTAACAAGAAAGGAAGGGTACTTTAAGGATGACAACTTGTTTATTACTTATGTTTTGGTGTAGATTCGTATGCCGTTGTCGAGAGAGAAGTACTACAGAGCAGACGTTTCTTATCTAATATCTAATGTGGATTAACAAATACAACATGGTGTTATGCATGAAAATGGACAACCAACAACGTCATTACTCGTCAACACGTCTATCACCTATGCCCTATTAACCAATGCCAGATAGATTTAGTGAAAGCATCAAAAGGCTGCTGGATTTTTTTATGATAAACTTATTTGCAATGATAAATACCCAAACATTTGTAATAAATGGCAGCTTTTATTTCCTGAAACTGACTTTGATTGGAAAAATGTATTTACAGTATATAGAAAGTGATTACAAGATACAAAGCTTATAGACTTTTAATATAGATTTCTACAAGGTATTATTTATACAAAAAAGGAATTGGTCAAAATGAAAAACATTGATAACAGTTTGTGTTGTTTTTGCAATAATGTAAATGAGAGTGTGTGTCATGTGTTCTGGGAATGTCAGGAGACACAAATCATTTGGATAAACCTACAAATTTGGCTTAACAATTTTTTCCCACAACCATTGATATTATCAAAAAACATGATTTGGTTCGGTACTCCATATGAACATAGAATGCTAAATCACATCATCATTGCTGCTCAGAGACATATTCACATCTGCAGTATTAAAAATATGGTTCCAAATCTAAGTTTATATATAAAACTCTTAAAGAAATATTCTTTATAGAAAATCATATATCAACAAAAAATAATAAAATAAATAATTTCAATCACAAATGGAGCCTTCTCTCCCCCAGTATTAGATGACTCTTAACTGTATCGATCTGTACCCGACTTTATCTATACATGATTCATGTAATGATTTATGCATGTTTATGAATATACTAATATATTGGTATCTTATGTGTACATCATGTATCTATAGATTACTTTAAGCCGTATGTATCACGGCTCTGTATATCTGTTATATATGTGATATTGCGATCTTGGGAACCAATAAAAAACAAAAAACCCAACGTCTTTACTCGTTAGCACGTCTATCATCAAGGCCCTCATCGAGTTAATTGTACCATGCTGTAATGATAGCGAAGTTCACAATGTCGACATTTTAATCAGAAATAAGATTATCTGTTGTAAGTGGATAAGGAATACACGAATTACGTTTCAACGTTATTTGTAGGTCCCCGGAGTCCGTTGGAAGATATATAACACTAGATGTTTTGTTTTTTTATTTTACGATGTACTGAGCACATTCATCGGGTCCTGGTGCGGCAGGTGGTAGGGCATGGTATGGGTATTGGTATAAGGGTCTGATTAAAAGAATGTGTTCCAATGTTTACATGACCGAGCGCCTCAGTACCTCTCTGAACTCATCTCAGTGTACACACCACCACGGCAGCTGACACCAACAGTTCCTCCTAACAACACCCCCTGTCAATCTCAAGAACTATGGTCACAGATCATTCAGCTATGCTGCTCCTTCACTGTGGAACAGTCTTCCCATAACCATCAAAACAGCAAAATCTCTTGACTTATTCAAATCTTCTTTGAAGACCCATCTTTTCAGGAAATATTAAGAATGACTTGTACAATTGCTGCAGTTTTTTAGCTGTACACACGGGGCGCCATGAGCATACACTAGTGTGTGGAAACGGCGCCATACAAGTGGACATTATTATTATTATGTATTCACGTATGAAAATGGTTGAATGAATATATTCACGTATGAAACAGATGCTACTGTCGCAAACTGACCTTGCAGATCAACAGGGATGGTCCTAAACACGCCTCCTATTATCACTGATATTGCAGGTCCAAACAGCGACATCGTCGAACAGATACCTGCACAATAACAGCAGCAAGGTAGGGTTAACACAAGGACCACTATGAGGATGGCAGGAGCATCTGGTGTAAGTAAAACACCTGGGATTACATGACTGGTAAAATGCCATTAATACGTTTGAAAAATTAATTCTGAGTCATTATCAATTAACCAATTATCGGTATGTATCCTACATGCAGACAGATGTCAATTGGCATTATAACCCAGGGGAAAATGACTTGTTGTTCCAAAACCATTGGCATATGACATTGGTATCCAGTTTGGTCATTCATAACCAGCGTATTATATAGGTATCCTAATGCATTCAGTTCTTGGCAAAACCATGGCATTATGACTTTTTGTTCCAAAACCATTGACGGCATTATAACCAGGGCATTATAGCCAGGGTGCACTGTAAATGCCACAAAAGACAATAAAACAAAAACAATAAAAGAACATAGCAAACAGCAACAGAAGCGTAACACAAACATCGATGTGAAGAATGCATAGACCTAAATGTAAGGATGACATAACCAACAATGCACGGACAACAGAAGTATCATGTGAGTTTGTTTGAGCAATATTCAAGCTATATGGCGTGTCTAGACCAGACAATCCAGTGATCAACATCATGAGCATCGATCTGCGCAACTGCGGTAAGTTGACATGTGTCAACCAAGTCAGCGTGCCTGACCACCCGATGTCGTTAGTCGCCTCTTACGACAAGCAGGGGTTGCTGAAGACCGGTTCTGACCCGGATCTTCGCGGGTGTATCGTCGTGAGTCAAACGCAAACATCAGTGTAAAGATTTCACACGGACCAGTGGAAAGACAACACACATATTGCCCAAACCAGGGGAAATCTTGAATTTGAAAAATCCCATTTCAGTTCATAGCCATGGTGCATTGGAGCGCCTTGCCAAACAATGCCACCCATAAACAGCCATCAAATGTGTGCGGAAGATCCACACCATGCACACCAGAGCGTTATAATATTACCCAACGCATAGCATAGGAGTGCAATATTTAACATATACATGTACACAGACAACGAATTCTCAAAAGTGCAGACAGGATTGCACGGTATACCATTTAAGGTACCTACATCTAACAAAGGATAGCAGAATACCAAAAAGGTGTTGATTATAGTCTAACCTTCAGGTAACTCCAGATGAGCATAACTATCCGTCAGCAATGATATTACACCAACATGTCCAATAAAAATCAGTTTCGTGAATGACTTCAACTTTTCAATAAACCGGAAACCGTATGTAGAGCAATATTCCTGCAGCTCCAGGCTTGGGTTTCTGAACTTGTGCTTAAAAGTGTTTGATCACGGTTATAAAGTTCAAGGTCTCAGCAAAGCTATAAATCGGTTTTGTAACAGACAACTGAAAAGCATGTGTTTACGACAGATGCCACCCCCAGGCGCAGGATAACATCATCTGTTATCGCCACGACTTGATAGTGGTTCATAAACATATACTCATGATGTTGTCGGATCTAATCAATATACTATGATTTAACAGAGATTTC